ATAGATAGATAGATAGATAGATAGATAGATAGATAGATAGATAGATAAAGATAGAGAGATAGATGGAGATATATTGTGCAGGTATATATTTATATATGAATATAGCATGTGTATATATATATATATATATATATATATATATATTTATATATAAATATATATTTATATATTTATATATATATATATGTTATGTATGTGGTTGGGTAGGTATGCACTTTCTCTTGAGAGCATCCAACAGAATTTCATTTTTAATGTGGATCAGTGTGCTCACAGTACAAAAAATGACAATAAAAAGTTATCTATCTTATAGCATATGTCCTCATATTGTCTGCACCCTGAGGTCTGCCCCATATCCCATTCCCACAGGAATTCATTGCAGCTGAAGATGCACTGATGAAACAGAGCCAAAACAATTGCATGGAATTCTTCCCCCCTTTCTGTTCCCCCCCCCCATTATCTGAACACAGGATGTTTTTTTATAGCAGATGTGTTTCGCATTAATCCAATGATATAGGAACCCCGAGGGGCGGGGGTGTAAAATTACAAAAATATGAAGTTTCCCATAAATGGCATTCTAGAGGAGGAGCTGAACCTCTGACTTTTGCTGTAAGCCAGGAGCTACTAAATACAGGAGGGTTTTTGGGCCCCTGTACAGGTCCTGTTTGGTTTTACTTGGCCAGCAAATGAATCTTGGCAACTGCAATGGAGAATATAATGAAAAAGTTGGCTGAATATGCATGCTTCTCTCTACTAGTTGCTAGGGAACATAAATGGCACTTTTATCTCCAGTATTCTGTTTGTACGTATTTAATCCACCACCGTGGGAACCAATGTTAGATTAAGGATATGTATCTCTGATGTTAGTCAGGAAATTTGACAGGTAGTTAAACATACTGTTCCACACTTACCTATACTTGTCCAACCTGTTAATGGCAGTAATTAGTGGCTATTTTTCCAAGGGAAAACAGCTGAAATTTGATAGGGAGGAAAATGAAGGACTCCACCAATCATATGCCTTAATTTGTCCCCTACTGAAACAATATGGGCAGCACCAGTTGTTAATCCCATTTATAGTGATGCAATAGGACTTGGTGATCAACAGCAAGTTTTCTGCCAACTCAAAGACTGGTAAGTTGTCTGCCAGTGCCCTAAATAAGACTTTGGTCATAAAGGTCACAGGATAGTATTTTTTGTTTTAACGTTGAATAAATAGAACACAGCCAGAGATCTTGTCAGATAAGTAAGATTAAATGTCTATTTACTTTCTTGTATGGAAGACCTCTGATAAAATTCATAGTTGCAATAGTTCACATATCTGATGCTTCAAAACTGCTTTCTATGT